AGGAAAGTGGCAAGGCAGAGGGAGGATATGAAGGGACAGGAAATGAATGGGATCAAGATACATGATGTGAAAGACACAAAGAATAAATAAAAAGAAAATTAAAAAAAGAAAGATAAGCAAAGTAAAGGGTGAGCCATGTGTCTCAACGGGCCACACTACAGATTCCACAACAAGATTTTTAGCCGTCTTCTTTTTTTTTTTTTTTATTTGTTTTGGTTTGTCTCTTTTTTTTGTTTGATTTTGGCTTTCTTCTTTTAAATTTGGTTTGGGTGGGGAAGTTTGCAAGGGCAGAGGGCAGATATGAGGGGACGGGGAGATAAGTAGGATCGGAATGCATGATGTGAAATCCACAGAGAATCAATTCAAGTAAAAGTAAAGTGTCTCAGAAATTCACTACTCTTTGTTAAACACACATATTTTCCTTAACTGTCCTCAGCATGGAAAATAACATCAGCAACAGCCAAAGCAAAGGTCTTACAGCCGTCATCAGTCTCTATCCCATAGGCATCTTCATTGGTCTTTAATTGCATGGCTCTTCAGCAGGGGGATAGAGAGAACAAGACCTTCTGGATGACGGCTGCCTTCGGGCAGATCTCGAGCTCCCCCAGCCTACTCCCTAGAGTGGTTGTGCAATCCAGTCATATTAAATACCTTCTGATGTCTGCCTCCCCAAGAGTTCCCATCACTTCTGGCCATCTGTGCAGATTGTGACTGTTACTTACAAGATTATTCCATTTTACTCATCTGACTAAAGTAAGGATCACCCCTGGGACTCAGTTTTGACATCACACCTATGGCACACACCTTCTTTGGCCCAGCATGTGGTTACATAACCTCCTCCCCTGCTCCTACCACACCTGACCCACCTTCCACCAGAGCCAATATTCTACTGGTCCATCTGCCTGCTGGACAGTAAGCTCCTTGAAGAGCTGAGTTGTCTTCTTCTCCCATGAATAGCAGCTAACACCATTATCAGCTTATAGTAGGGACTCAATACATCTTGAATGAATGTGGGATGTGTACTCATTCCCAACTATTTGGAAATAGATCCAGAAAAAAAAGCCCTATATCTTAAAAGGAAAATCAATAAAAATCCTAAAGCTTGGTCAGTCTAGGTTACAGAGTGAGACAAGGTCTCACTCAAAAAAAGGAAAGAAAAGAAAAAAGAAAGAGCATCCCCAAAGCATGAATGCCTTCTCACGTTAACAAGTTCCTTATTTCCAGATAATCATTTTCTCACACCAGCCTTGAATACTTCTGTTTTCATTTACCCGTGCATTGTTAAGCTAAAAATATCATTAAATGTCTATTCAAGCAACTATGAACTCTTGGGAAACTTTGCTTAGATGCTTATAAGAACAGTGTCCATTAGGAGTGACATTGTTTCTGAGATAGTTTCTGTTATTGGACCTTGTTACTTGCCAAGTTTTGATACAATGCCTAAGTGAATATTTTTGTGCTTCTAATTATTGCTCCTTAGAGCATTCTGAAAATAAAATTATTAGGTGAAGATTTTACAACTCTAATGGAAGAATGAGATGGAGTAGTGGTCTCTGGAGGCTGGGAAGGGCAGTCGAGGCCAAATGGAAAGAATTTTAATAAGGGTTCCGTAGTCACAGTGGAGAAATTAGTTCTGGATTTCTTAAAATAGACTGGGGTAACTGTTGGTTAGAACAATGTGTGATATATTACAAAATGAAAGGAAATAAAAAATCTCCAGATATAAGAAGAATTCGTGTTGGAAGACATGGGAACATTTGTTACTTTGATTATTATAGACTGTGTCCATGTATTAGATTATCATAATGTGTCATATGGAAGATGTACAAACACTGTGCCTTGGTTTAAAGAGAAAACTTTACATTCCTGTTTGCAATGCTTCAACAAAAACATCTCAACATACTCTTAACTGTAGCATTATCTTTGTTTAAGAGTGACGCTTACATGGCAAATCGAACACTTCGTTTGGACTTCTCCTCGTTGGGCAGCTGTGTTACACTCTCCTGTGCCTGTGTTTCTGCTGGATTATCTTTCTGAATGAATTAAAAGCTTTCGCTGGGTTACGTACACAATCCTGAGACTGAGGAGCTGGCAAGAATGGGAATCTGGGTTCAATCCCCAGCACCCACATAGAAGCCATGTCCAGTGGGATGCACTTACAATCCCAACATGGATGTGGAGAGGGGAGGGCACCCACATAGACGCCACGTGCCGTGGGATGCTCTTACAATCCCAACACAGGTACAGAGGGCAGGGGCAGAGGCAGGACTCCTAAAGCCGGCTGTCCAACTGCTCTTGCAGAATCAACAAGCTCCAGAGACTCTGCCTCAAATAAAGAAGGTAGAAAGTAGCTGAGGAAGGAACTTGATGTTGACCTGTTGCCTCCACATATATACACACAGTACTTGTGTGTGCACACACCAAATAATATAACTCTGTGAGATGTTTCATGTTCTCCCTCTAATGCATGCCTTCAACATTAATTCCTACTCTAGTATTTTCTAAAATTCAAGCTCAGCTCTATGAATTACTCAATTGTTTCTCTTGCCCTCTTAGAGATATGAGATATACACATTTTACAACTCAGAAACACACCTTGTCATTGTCCCTTTTTCTGTGTTTGATAAAATACACTGACAGAAGCAGCTCAGGGGAAATGTGGAATTCAGCTTGGGGGGTGTGCTTACAGTTTATCATTGCAGGGTTTACAGTCTGTCATTGTGGGGGTTACAGTCTATCATTGCAGGGGTTACAGTCTGTCATTGAGGGGGTTACAGTCTATCATTGCGGGGGTTATAGTCTGTCATTGTTGGGGTTACAGTCTGTCATTGAGGGGGTTACAGTCTATCATTGCGGGGGTTACAGTCTGTCATTGCAGGGGTTATAGTCTGTCATTGTTGGGGTTACAGTCTATCATTGCAGGGGTTACAGTCTATCATTGAGGGGGTTACAGTCTATCATTGTTGGGGTTATAGTCTATCATTGTTGGGGTTACAGTCTGTCATTGCGGGGGTTACAGTCTGTCATTGCAGGGGTTACAGTCTGTCGTTGTTGGGGTTACAGTCTGTCATTGCGGGGGTTACAGTCTGTCATTGAGGGGGTTACAGTCTGTCATTGAGGGGGTTACAGTCTGTCATTGTGGGGAAGCTGAGGTGGCAGGAACTTGGAGCAGTTGGTCATGTCACAGTCAAGAGCAGAGAGACAATATTTCCTGTGCTCAGTTCGTTTTCCCCACTCTTACACAATTCAGGATTTCCAGCTGGGGAATGGTGCTACCCATGGTGGACAAGTCTTCCCACCTTAATGGACAATTAATGTGATCAAGATAATCTCCCAAAGATATAAAATTATTTCATTACCACTTCGAAACTGTAATTTTGCTATTATGAATCATAACGTAAATATCTGATATGTAGTCCTTCAACTCCACATGGGATTATGACACACAGGTTGAGAACCACTGATCTAGACAATCCCTCACCAATATCCTCTCCCCAGAGGGTTGTAGATTGTGCCAAGCAGACAATTAAAACTAATCATCACAATTTAGACAACATATTTTCTCCTATCTGTGTTGTTGTTACTGTTTTTGTAGGAGTATTGAATTTGTGATTTTCTCATTTCTGCGATCAAATATCTGACAAAACCAACTCCGAGAAGGAAGGGGTTGTTTGGGCGACAGTTGGAGGCACAGGCATCTTGGAAAGAAAGTTATGCTAGAGTTTGGGGCACCTGCTCACGTTGAATCTTCAGTCAGAAAGAGATGATGCTGGTGCCCAGGTAGCATTCTCCTTTTTATTCAGTCCAGGACCCCAGTCTGCTGTGGGATGGTCTGCATGGCAAATGTGTTGCTCTGATTGGTCAATAAATAAAACACTGATTGGCCAGTAGTCAGGCAGGAGGAAGTATAGGCGGGACAAGGAGGAGAAGAATTCTGGGAAGTGGAAGGCTGATTCAGAGTCACTGTCAGCCGCCGCCAGGACAAGCCACATGTGAAGATGCTGGTAAGCTACAAGCCACGTGGCAAGATATAGATTTATGGAAATGGATTAATTTAAGATATAAGAACAGTTAGCAAGAAGCCTGCCACGGCCATACAGTTTGTAAGCAATATAAGTCTCTGTGTTTACTTGGATGGGTCTGAGCGGCTGTGGGACTGGTGCGTGAGAGAGATTTGTCCTGACTGTGGGCCAGGCAAGAAAACTCTAGCTACACCAGTCCATGGAAAGGTTGCCACCAACTTTTAGTATGTGTCTGCTTACCACTGTAAGGAAATCCAAAAACTTCATCCTGGACATGTACAGAGGTGTGTCTCCCAGGTGATTCCAGATCCTGGCCAGCCTACAATCAGTACTAGCATCAGAGGTGTGTCTTCTAGGTGATTCTAAATACTGTGGAGCCTGCAGTCAATATTAGCATCACAGGAATGTTGGGTTGCTGCTAGTTTAGTTTTCCTCTTTTAGGCCAGAGTCTCACTGAGTAGCTCGGTCTTGCTTTAAACACACATTCTTTCCACCTCTGCCTCCTCAGTGCTGAGATTACAGACATACACCACCATGGCCAGCCTCTATCAGTTTCCTACTGCAGTAGCTTACATTTACCTTTCTGACCCATTTAGAATTTGTCTATGGCTTTATTTTGAGGTGAGGTTTGAATTAGAGTTTTACAGAACAACTGATTTTTTTCTAAGACTTTCTCACGGCTTTTAAAGAAATGCTAGTGGATGGGACAGAGAGATTCTGGCTCCGTATTTTAAAATGCATACTGGACTTCCCAAGGACATGCGTTCCCAGTGTCTACATCAGGCAGCTCACAACTTCTTATAACTCCAGGGGATCGAATGCCCCTGGCGCCCATAGGCACCACATCACACATGTAATTTAAAAGAGTAAAAATTGATCTTTAAGTAAAAGGAACAATACTAGGAGCGATCACACTGAAAAGGAAGCATCCAAAGATTTAGCTTGATGTTGATCATAAGCTTTGCCTTGTCCCCTCAGGTGACCAGGAGCCAGCAGTGAGCAGTGACTCTGACATCTCATTGATTATGGCACTGGAAGTGGGACTGTCTGATGTAGAACTTTCCACTGACCAAGACTACGAAGAGGTGAAATCTTGAGATGGTAGAAACAGAGAAAAGGAAACACAGGACCCAGGGGGACAAGAAGGAAGCATGCTCCGAGACTTGAACTGGATACACAGCCTTCAGCTCGCCATGGCAACCCCAGGGCACTCTGTTCAAGGGTGGTAACGGAAGCAATATCCAAAGTCTGCAGAATCAGGATGCGGGTTCCCATCTCTGCAACAATCTGTGGCCTTGGTGTGGAAGCGGAAAGCTGGATTCCTCCGTGTCAGCGCAGACACGCAGCAGAAGGTCCTGCCGCAGGCTGGAAGGAGACCTGTGTGGCTTCTTTCAGCTTCTCCCATCTTCTTGTTCTTGTTTGGAGAAGATGGTCTAAATCCCTGGCAATTTCTTTTTAAAGATGATGTGTAGTTTACATCTGTCCCCTTGTTTCCCTTTGATTCACTCTGGCCCTTGTACAGAGGTCTGTTTAAAAGTCCTGGTTGCTGCTCCAATGATCAGTTAGTACCACATCTCTGAGATTTATAGTCATGAGCTCTCAGTATGAAGTGTGTATGACTTCGAGAATTGCCTCAGCACCCTGAAATGGTGGAAGGCTGGAATTTATCAAGTGTCTAACTCCCTCCTCTAAGAGGGTCTTGACGAACCCAGCTGCCAGAGACAGTGACAGCAAGTTCTGGATCTGCTGAGTCCATTGCTCATTATTTTCACCTACATCATGTAGGGCCTCCACTTGCCGTGCTCTGTCCAGGGCCACCTTGGCAGAAAGAGCTTTCAGGGAAGAGGGTGGTGCATCTGACTGCAGGGTCTTACTCTAAAACTCAGAAGTTCCCCACAGGGCATGAATCCAATGCTTAGAGTGTGTGGAACTATAAGCCCGGTTTAAAAATCTGATACCCTGTCTTCCCAGGGCTAGGAAGATGGCTGTCTCCCTGGTTATCCCCAAGGCCTTAGCAGTCTATCACCTTTGTAAGTGAGTTCTGTGGGTGCAGGCTATAGAGAAGACACAATCGTCTTTTTTAGGTCACTGGCATCCAGGTGTAAACTAACTTCCGGTTCTGTTCTGTTAATCCTCACCAGCCTACATGGAAAGCTCTAAATAAATCCTTAGCACTTTGCAGCTTGGGTCTTCCTAAGAGCATCTTGCTACCAAGAGGAGGATGAGGTATGATTTGATAAGGTCTGAGCCAAAAAGCACGTCATGGGGAATTGCTAAATCGAGTTTCTCCTGATTATGAGAAACAAACAAACAAAAAATAACCAATGACTATCAAAATCCACCTTACTATAAAGTAGTTTATGATTTTATTCTTTGTTTGTTTGTTTGAAATAATGACAAAAAATGTGCTGTTTTTCATGTGAACAGTTTTGTGATCCATGCACCCTCTGCAGAGGGTGACCAGGAGGATCTCCTCATCATCTCTAGCAGTTGGCAAGGTCACACAGAGCAGGGATTAACCAGGAAAGCAAGCTCTTCCCACTGAGCTGTATTTATGTGTTTGATTCGGGCTTTTCCACCTCATTACACTAATACTCCTTCAAACAGGGCTTGGCTGAGCTGTGAATCCTTGCTGCCCACTGGAATGTTGAGTCCAGAGCAGCAGAGTTCCTGGCTGCTCTTTTTCTTGCTACCTTTAGTGAGGTCCTATCTGATGGTGTATGCGTACAGCAAGGCAAAGGGAAACAGCCTTCAGGAAAACCTCTTCTGTCCAAGGTCCTGCACGGCCCATAGTTAACTCCAGCCTCCAAAGGCTGAGAAGATCCATCGGGAGGAAGTAGGAGAGCTCTGAACCAGGATGTGTACAATGAGGAATTTAGCAGATGCTGAACCAGGATGTGTACAATGAGGAATTTAGCAGATGCTGAACTGGGATGTGTACAATGAGGAATTTAGCAGGTGACTCTCACAGTTCGCTCTTTTTTGGATCACTCATTTGCACTTCTCCAGTGGGATCTTTTGTGAAAACAACTGTGTCACATAGCAAATTTTGATATGAAGTCTAATGAAATTAGGGTAATTCGACAGCAAAAGACATACAAATTATATTGCATGCCCAGGGAGAAAAAGTGTTGGTGGGCATTTTCTGTGTTTGGTGGGAGTTTTCTGGCCAATGGTCAGGTAAATTGCCGTTTACATAAGCAAGCCCTTGACCTGATATCCTATAAGAGCCTGAATGGATGATGAAGGGTCCAAATGTCTGTTCTCTTTACCATAGCCTTCCCTGATACCCTTCCACAATAAGAGACTCTGACGTGGGGGCCCAATAAACCACACATGGCTGTACAACCCAGAAATGCAAACTGAATAGGCATTTACATGCATGCAGTTTTCTGTAGCAAGTATCTGCACCAACTCTGTCAAACAGAAATACAGCCCAAGTCACAGACACTTTTTTTAAATTTTCCATTACCCACATTTTAAGAAGCAAAAAAAAAAGGTGAAAATAATTTATTAATATTCTTATTTAACCAAATATTATTGTTTTAACATGCAATTGATATGGAAAGTATTAAGGAAATATTTTCCTCTCTTTTTTATTGTAGCTTCTAAGTCCATTATGTCTTTTACACACACAACACATCTCAATTTTCACTAGCCACAGCTTAGCTTTCAGTAGCCACATGTGCCTAGTAGCCACCAGCTAGAAAACACAGCCTGAGAGATGCTCCAGAATCCTTAAAAGGACAGAAGAAAAGGGAGAAGATTACCTCAGTTCTCACGGAGAGAACCAGACTCCACCCAAGCCACCTAAAGAGAGGGCCTGGGGTGTACTTGTTTCATAATTAATATTGGTTCAAACAGCCTATACTAACTTCCTGCTTGAACTTTCTAAGCACTAATGTCCACTATCATCAACTGTTACTTCTCTGACAAGTTGTTTGTTAAAAAAACAACAACAACAACAACAAGACAACCAACCATGCCGATTTGGAGCTTAAATGAAATTACACCCCTCACTTCTATGACAAACCTTGAGACTCACGTGTGACACTTAGCCAAAGAGAATTTACCTCAACCCCTAATTCTTCTCTTTGTGGCTGCCCAGTTCTAGAGTAGACGTCAGAGGCCTGAGGAAAAGCACAGGGAACTGTAGACTGACCCCATGTATACAACCGTGTGGCCCTGTCAAGAAGGGATTGGGAAGCTGGTAACCCTTCAGCTTAGTGAATGGCCAGCAGCTTTCAGTTCAGCATCACCCATCATGCTTAGGCTATGGGAGGGAAAGAGGATTGAATCCCTTCAGAGTCACCTTCAGAATGGCTTTCTCCAAGGTGGTTAGTAATCTTGGGAGCCAATGCCTCATAAATACAGCATTTGAACACTGACTACCCCCTAGAACTTGGTCATGCCTTCAGTGTCAATTCTGGTCACACAACCCAGGGACAGATGCAGTATGGAGAAAGTATGATGATAAATGTAACAGAGGCACCCAGCTACTTCAACACTGCATGTAGCATCCTGGCCATGGAAACGAGTCTCTGTCCAAAGGTTTTTGTGTTGTTGTTATTTTTGCTTTAGTATTTTTCTCATCTGTGAGTATTCACGGGTCTTCGATAGTCATGTGGTCCTATTAAGAACAGTTGTGCCCAGTAACCATTTCGGCTACAGTCCAGACATCCCTGGGGCTACCACACTTCCAGGACCATAAAGTACGACAGTCTGCCTAAGATTCATTGTTGTAAGTTTAGTTGGTGTGAAATAAATTACAGAGTGTAAGAATTTAATAGTGTTTAGTTGTCCACTGAATGCATATCCTTGGCTGAACAAGAAAATTACCCAATAAAAACTTACAGAAATTTTAGGGAGTAGTGTCACGCCCCGTATGAAGAGAAGGCCCAGCCTTCTGCAGTACTGAGGCCATTGAGATGACATCCTGTAGCAGTCTTAACTTCTCTGCCTTGGGTTTCTTCATTTTCCTGTGTTTCTGATTGCCTGTTTCCTTGTATACACATGTGCATGCACGCGCACACACACATGCACGCACGCTCGCACACACTCACGTGCGCGCACACACACTTTCCCTATCTTACCCCTCATTTCTTTTTTCGTCCTATTCTAGTTTTTATTTTGTCACGTTTTCTCCCTACAAGGAATGCTCCAGTAACACCCACCTGCTGCTGCTCCCCACCCCCCAGCTTGGTGCTGGAAGTCCCCTGAGTAAATACTGGTGAGGCTACAATTCCAGGATGCTGTGGAGATCTGCTATCTTACATGGCCAGAAACTATAACCTTCTAGTCTGTGTGCCCCAGGAGCAGGTTCTGTGGCTCCTCCGTCTGACATCTGCCCAAGCTCAGTGCCTAGCTTCAGGGCTTGCTTCCTGGACATGATCGTGAGCCACTAACACTGTCAAAGAGGAACAAAATCCCACTCCTCCAAAGGTCAAAGGTTGGGCTGCCTGCTTTCTTGAGTAGCATCTCTGTCCCTGCTGGGAAGGAGCAGGGTTGATGGCTGCATTTCACAGGGGAGGTGACCCAAAGGACAGCAACAAGGAGGTGGGATCCCAAGTCAAAGCAAGACTGGCTAAGTGGGAAGTCTCTAGAAAAATGCCCCTCCCCTGGGTTTAGAGCTTATCAGTGGGTCCCAGGGAGAATGGGTGTTTAAGAATTCAATATTCGTGAGTTAAAACACTCTTGAATTGCAAAGAAGATGGGAATAGCCTGGAAAGCAAGTAAGTCTTAGTTTCTCACTGATACGTAGGTAGCTCTCTCTCTGCCTGGCTCCCAACACCAGGCCCTTTACAGTGGGACAGTAGTGTTTAAAGTCCGGTAGATAGAAAGCTACTGTGCCCCACTGTGAGCCTTTTGGTGGCACAGTGCTGTTCCAGAACTAATGAAACCAGTGCAAATCCTGGATGTGGATTTTTAATTACCACCCCCTTTGATCACATCAGTTCCTGTCCTGTAAGAGCCCTCTCTGTCACTCACTCTCTCCCTGTCTTATGCCCTTCATAATCAAGTGGCTCTTCATGAACCTCAGTGGCCAGACCCCCGAACCCCGTGGCACTGTTCATGTCCACACTCACTGCACAGCTGTTTGTTCTCTGGCCGTGTGATACGTGTTTGTTGAGGATAATTAGGTGAGATTGTGTTTCTTGTAAGAGCTCTAAACACAGGCAGACTGAAAATCTACGGAGAACGGAGAGAAAGCTGAGGTACTCAAAGTCATTGCTGATAGAAAGTCTGTGGGGTGGCCATCCTTAGGCCAGCGGTGACCTTGGGGAAACAGGAAAGATGTGAGGACCATGTGTGCTAAATAAACCAAAGACTGACACCTCCCCCGCAATGGACACATGCTCTTCCATGAACTAGCTGAATTTTCTCCAGATGTTCTCACAAACAAAAGTCAAGATGGACCCTTGGTGGCTTTGATTTGGGGGGTGGGGGGGCTGCTGCTTGGTCTTGCTAAATCCACAACTCTGAAGTAGATAACTGTGGCCTTGGTGACATGTCATCTTTGATCTCTAGTGTTTAACCCTCTTTTCCCTCCAAAGCTTCCAGACAAATCTACCACTTATATTGAACTCAGACTATTGTTTGTTTTCTTTGAGAATGTGGAGATTTTAAATAGCCAAAGAATTTTCATGTATAAAAGCTAGCGCACTGTAGTGTATCCTGTTCTTTGAAGAAAATACCAAATTGTCACCTGTAGGAAAAGAACAGCGGAAGGACAGCGCATGGACTTAGCACTCTAAACTTGTGTTGGTTTGTCAGTGCTGTAGGATGTTATTGTAAGGGGCAGAGCGCCCTCTGCTGGAACAATACCTAGATTATTTCAGCAAATTTATTTGCCATGGGTTTCCATTTCAAAGTGTGTCTTACTTTTCATCCATACCATTCCCTCAATAGTGGAGAAATTGGTTGACACTTATTAAATGAGGAGAGAAAATCATGAACTCTAAAGAGCTGTGGGAGACCTCATCAGACCCGCTTTAAAACGTTGCTGTGTTCTGTTGCTGTCTGGGAAGGTGCTTCCGGCTAGGATGTATGCAGAATTATCAGCAGAGGTCTGTTTGACTTAGCTCCACTTCCTCATGTGAAATCTCAAAGGAAGGTCAATAAAAGGACTTCTTCCGTATGAATGTAAATGGTGTGAAATACCCAAGTGTTTTGTATGTGTACAGAATCAATTTACTTCCTGCTTTCAACTTACTAATAGGAAATGATTGTACCATTTTATAATTGGGAGAGAGCTGGAGGTGGGACAGGGTGGGAAGGGGGTGCTATTTTTATAGTGGGATGTCCATTATGCTTAGAAAACTTGAAGTAATTTTGTATTGTGAAGTTACATTCCATTCGTTCCCAGGGGTGAGGGTCTTCTTTAAAACTCTCATCAGATGGAAGGAAGAATTCTCTCATTTGCAGGAGAATCTCTTGAGTGTCTGTGGTACCATATGTGGCACACACTTCTGTAACCTGCAGACCATAACCAGCAATTGTCAAGTTCAAAAGCAGGGGCAGGGGGTAGGGCGCATTTTTTTTTAACTCTCTGTGTAACACATTATTTGTGATTTTCTTTAAAAAAAAATCTACAAAGAATGGATTTGCAAGTCTGAAATAATCAAGCATGACATCATAAGTCTTTCTCCAGCATCACTATACCCAGACAAAGGGAAAATCCAGTGGCTTTGATTTCCTTTCCTTTCCTTTCCATTTAATGACATGAACCATGTGCTTCTGTTGTAAAGGATGGTGCCACGGTCAGCATTTTACTGAGCTTGCCCACGAGGTCACTTTGGCAGGTTCATGGCTCCAGTGTAGGATGACCCCTTCCCAGCATTTCTCCTCATTTCAGTCTGAGGACAGGAGATGGGCTTTTCCTCAACTTCTTCGCCCTCTGACCCACAAATTACAAGAACCAACTCTGAGTGGTTTTCCATGGGGAATTTTGGACTTGGAGTTTGGTTCACTCTCATGTGCTGAAATATGGCAGTGGTGTGTCTACATCCATGCTGGGAAGATATCATGTGCTCTGCAGAGTCCCCTGCATATTTACATGCGTGTTCTTTCCTGTTTGTGGTCTGTTCAGTCCCTTCCTCCCCACCCTGGACACCTACCCTACTTCTCTTAAGCACTTTATATCTCTTTAAGTACAAAAGAAATTGGAAGAAAGGAAAAACCAAACCACCCCTGGCTTTAGAGGACTGGGTCTTCTGTTAGGAAAGGCAGATTCGGTTTGCTTCGGTGTCTTCTCGGTGAGCTGGGAGAGCATCTGTGGCTCGTCGGGTCCTCACTAGTGATGAGATGTTAAGGATGACAGTTGGAAACACTCGATCAGACATAACTATTTTCATTAAAGACTATAATGTAAATAAGTGCAACTGTGTTCTGATGTACGGTCAAAAGATGTATGAACTATAAAGAACTTAACACGAGGATTGTGACTTCCAGGGAATTTTTGTTTGTTTTGTTGTTTTGGGTTTTTTTTTTTTAATAAAATGGAAACAGATTCTGTGGTTGTGCCATCCATGTCCCCTAACCCCATCACCTCTCACCCAAGGGTGCCCTGTGGTTATCGAAACATCAATATTTACTCTTAAATCATTAATTACTATGGCAAAAGAGCAAAATATGAAACAACTGACTCATTTCTGTCTGGTAGGTCAGATGTCAAGTACCTGATCTCTTCACAGCTCTCCACCTCTAAGTGAGTCAGTTAAAGGGTTAAAGACACTAAGCTGGTGGGACGACTTGGAGATGAAAGGCATTTGCTGTCCAGCTTGATGACCCCAGTTCGAACTGAAGGCAGAAGTCACAGAAGGGAGGGATCAAGTTCTGAAAGTTCTTCTCTCACCTGCAAATACACTGTGGCACGCGTGCATGGCACACACACACACACACACACACACACACACACACACACACACACTAAATAAAAGATAAATTAATCAACTGAAAGTTTTAATGTGCCGGGCAGTGGTGGCACACAACTTGAATCCCAGCACTCAGGAGGCAGAGGCTGGTAGACCTCTGTAGAGGCAGGGAGATCTACAAAGCAAATTTCAGAACAGCTCAGACTGTTACACAGAGAAACCCTGTTTTCAAAAACAAAACAAAAAATAAATAAATACATACATACATAAATAAATAAATAAATAAATAAATAAATAAATAAATAAATAAATAAATAAAAGCTTTAGCATTTTGTAAGAATAGCCGGCAAGTTCCCCGGCGATGCTGTGGGGAGGGGCTGTGGTGGTGCTGGGCACTAGCCAGAGTTCCGTTCCCATCCCCCATGGGTTTATACATTTGAATCATGGCTGCACTTTGAGGGTCTTCCAGATAGTCTGTGGTAGCCTCTTTATTTATATCTGTTTATTTTTCTTTTTTTCTGGGTGTGTGTGTGTGTGTGTGTGTGTGTGTGTGTGTGTGTGTGTGGTGGGGTGGTGTGGTGTGTATGTGTGTGTATAGGCCAGAGGTCAACCACAGGTGTTATTCTTCAATGCCATACACCTTGGTTTTGACACAGGATTTCTCACTGGCCCAGAAGCAGCCAAGCAGGCCAGGCTGGCTGGCCTGTGAGCCCCAGGGCTCCAACAGCCTCCACCTCCCTAGGGCTAGGTTTACAGCATGGTCACCACATTCAACATCTTCTTCGGGGAAATCTGATATCCAGGTCCTTGTAGTTAGGACAATGGCTTTAAGGACTGAACCCTTTCCCCAGTCCACTGTTCCTGAATGATTTCAAACAGCAGAACCTTGGGATTAGCTCAGGGTCTGCAAAGGAAATGTAGAGGAGCCGGGGCAGGAGGGCAAGGAAAGTGAATGGCACCCTAGTCACTGAATCACTGAATCACTGCAGGATGTCAGCAGAGCCTCAAGGTGGTACAGACCTGCCCATCCAGGATCCCCAACTCTTGCCTTTTAGGGACAGGCCAGCCTGATTCCCCAAGTTCCCCACCAGGAGGTGTGGGCCCCAAAGATGACACTGTCAAAAACTCAAGCATTTGGCTGTGGCCCCTCGGAGCTCGTGTTTATGGACAGAACAGTATTTTTACAGCTTAGGTCCCCAGTGACGGTCCACACCTAAGCTGTAGGCAGGTAGATAATCCAAAGGATTGTTAGGATGATAATGATATTAGCAGGCACCTTGACCTTTAAGCTCCCATCATGCAATTTTTATCTTCCAGACACCTACCATCAACCATTCCTCTAGCCTAGAAAGGCATGAAGCTGTTACACAGAACCCAGGCACCATGGCTCCCAACTCCAGCTTCACATCTTTCCAACAGACAGGACTGCCTAGGGAGCACATGCTGGTGTGTGCTCCAAATCACAGCACAAAGTTCCATGGTCAGTGGGGGGGTGGAGATACAGAATCAGCAAGTCCATGTTAGCTGAGGACTGCCATAAAGCCACACCATAACTTTGTATGTCCGATTTTCCTGATACTGAATGGTGACAGGGGTTTGTTTTTCAGCCCTGCCCTGGACATGACCACCTGTATAAGAGCATCAGCATTCAAGCTGAAAATCCCTGCCAGGCAGCCATCCCACAAGGGCCTTGTGTGTTCCCCAGAGCCTTGCCTGGAATGGTTAATTGGGGTTGTCAACTTGACTGCATTGGGAGACACCTAAAGCATTCACAAGGCACACTTTCGAGCGTGTCTGTTTCCAGGGAAGTTCCACCTGAATTTGGGGTCACCTTGCACATGGCTGGTACCACCCTATGGGCTGAGATCGCAGACTCAGAAAAAGGAAAGAGAAGAAAGCAAGCTGAGACCCAGCGTTCCTTGCTCTCTACACGCTGAAGCCTGGAGATGTGAGAAGTCCCAACCTCAGCTCCCATGGCCATGCCTCCCCACCATGGTGAACTGTCCCCTCCAACTGTGAGCTACAAGGCCATGCCTCCCCACCATGGTGAACTGTCCCCTCCAACTGTGA